CTATTCTAGGGAGTCTATCCTAGCTATAGAGGCCGTAGAGAGGATTCGCTCTATCCCCCCCCGTCCGTCTCGCGCTACTAATAGATCTTATAAGAGGTCTACTATTTCTCCCTCTAAGTCGCCTTATAAGAGGGTATATATTCCCTTCTAGATTATTCTAGATCGTGTTAGCTAACTTTAGACCTAGTCGCTACGCTCCGGCGCTTAAGGCTCTTCCCTCTAGGCTCTAACGGATCGGGTTATTACTCTAGAGGCTAAGGTCGTCGTCCTCTACTACCATATCGTGCGGTTAGAGAGGACTATACTAGAGGTTAGGACGGATGATAAGATAGAGGAGTAGCTCTATGGTTCTAGCTCTATGGGTTTAGCTCTATGCCTAGCTCTATATATTCTAGATCTACTATAGGTGGTGCGCGCCGGCTCTATTTACCTAGCTTTTATCTATTTTAGTCCTTTTTAGACCGTTTAGATACCCGTCGGCCAGTTTCTAGTAATTTAATTCTTAACTTAACGATATTATATATGCGCTTGCTTAGCTTATAACTATCGGTTTCTACATTCTAATTTTCCTTAAGTCACCTAAGTATAGGCACCGTATATAAATTAGTTTATCTCTATAAATTCTATTAGAGCACCCGAACTAGTAGCCTAGTAGTTATTAGTTCGGGTACTCTAACTTTTTATATTTCGTGTTAAGAGTTTAATTCTATGGTAGGGTACCTTTTTTTAGGTTCTTAGTCCCATGTTTTTCTCGTGTATAATGGTCTATATTAGTCCATTCTAGACTCTTCTATGTTATTCTATTATAGTGTGTCGCGTCGCGTTCCTAAAATGGTTATTTACGCTTTCTTCGCGTCTAGTAACCGTATAACGCTTAAATTATAGGGCTACTATGTAGAGTTTTCCTAGTGCGCGTCTGGATTTCCTAGTTTAGCACTTCGTTCTCTACGGTATCCTTCTTCTTTTTATAACGACCGCGACGTCGCTATACTTATATTAATAATACGCTATTCTATATCTTTTACTTATACGTAGCTATTATAGAACTTAAGATATATACTACTAGTTCCTAGGTGTCCTCGTCCTTAGTATAGTCCTTCTAACGGATTCTATATTTCTAAATACCATCTTTATTAATTCTATATTCGATAATATAGTCTACTTCGAATACGTCTAGTCTATCTTAGAGTATAATAGAGTGTAACTATACGTTCGTGCGGCTATATACGTTAGGTCGAAATCTTTCGAGTAGTAAGACGTGGAACACGTTATAGATTCTTATATCGCTTCCTAAGTCGAGCTCGTAGACTCTTATACTAATACGACGTTTGATTCGGAAGGAACCAGCCATTTTATAATTAAGCTTCTTGTTTACTTACGACGTTTGTATATTACGGACGTTAAGAAGGACCTCGTCGCCCTCCTCGTACGTCTAATCCTTAGCTAACCTATTATAGTACTTCGTATACGAGTCGTTTACTTATTAGATTATAGCGCGATAGTTACGTGCGGTTTCGAAGATTTTAATCGCTAATTCCTAAGCATAGACGTTCACGTCTATTATTCGATTAAATTAGACCGTCTAAGGCTTAAAACCTATCCTTAGACTACGTCTGAGGTTCGCCTAGAAAGGTATAATACCTATTATACTATAATAACTATTATTATATACGAACTCTACTATATTTAGTAGGGAGGCCTAGTCGTTCTACTCGAAATTATAGAATACGCGTAGGTAGGCCTCGAGCGTCTAGTTCTATCGCTCTATCTAGCTATCCGTCTAAGGATAAAATACTATAGATATATTTCTATTTATACTTACTATTTCGTAGAATAACGTCTAGAATTTAGACGTGAAGGTACTTCCTCGGTCCGTAACGATCCTTTTTAGTATACTATAGACCTTAATAATCTCGTTCTAGAACACCTACGCTAGTTCTTTAGATGTAATCGTCTTCTATACTAGGATATACCTAGATATC